AAAAACTTGCTGGGTTTTTCCAAGGCAATTAGGTTTTGCTTCCAGATCCGGTGGAAACTGGAAAGAATTATTAAACCACTTTTCTCTTCCCTCTTCTTCTACTCTTTCTTCTGATGTCAAGACTTCCGAAAACTTCAGCAATTTGGGTTCTATTGAGGTCACATTTTTAATACAGTTTTTCACAGGTTGTGAATCATGCTATCTAAGAGTATAGAATACTTTTAAAAAACTCCTTATGCAGAGTGAAAAAGAAGACATATGCAGGTTCTAAAACTTTGATTGTCCAGTTTCACTGCTTGCAAGTTTCTTGATGAAGAGAAGCCCTTTGACTGGAGCACAAGTCTTATGAGGCTGAGGAAATTGGAGTTGTTCAGCCTGCAGAAAACGAGGCTCAAGGGGTACTTCATTACAAGGTGGGGTTGGTCTTTTCTCCCAAAGAAGAAGTAATAGGACAAGCAGAAATGACCTCAAGTTGTGCCAGGGGAGGTTTAGGTTGAATATTAGGAATAATTTTCTCACTGAAAGGTTTGTCAAGCCCTTTCACAAAAAGGTTTCCCTGACCAGGGAAGTGGTTGAGTCACCATCCCTGGAAGTATTTAAATGACATGTAGATGTGGTACTTAGGGATTTGGAATTAGGGATTTGTCAGTATTAGGTTAACAGTTGGACTTGGTGATCTTAAGGTCTTTTCCAACCTAAATGATCCTTTGATTCTGTGAGTGATAGCAGTATTACCTGTACATTCAATAGCAATACTGTTGATGAATTTGGACCATAATATAAGTCCTTTACACTGTGACAATACAACACACTAGTGCTAAATATTTGTGATAAAAACATTGTGCTGATGATGATCTGATAGATGTAATCCACTAAACTGGAGATTTTATGCTGGTTTTAATACAGAGAGAAACAAGAGGATAGTCTCCGGAGTTTTGCAATGGAAACCATAGAATCATAGAATCAACCAGGTTGGAAAAGACCTCCGAGATCATCAAGTCCGACTCTTGATCCAACAGCGCTGTGGTTACTAGATCATGTGTTACAATCTGGTTAAAATATTGCAGAAAGAACTTCAGATTCGAATATTCCCTTGAGCAAAACTGAAACTCACACAAGTTATCTGTTGATACCAAAACTGATTTTTATTAATTGCTAAGAGAATGCAAAGAGAAAGAGGAAAAAATAAGAAAAAATTGGAAAACGCTAAGAATATTTTTTAGAAGCAGAGAAAAGATACCACCGAAAACTACCTTTCTGCCGTGCTGGTATGAGCGGTGGAGAGAGAAACAATTTTCTGCCTTTTTTTTTTCTCTGTCTCTGCCACTTTTTGATGTTAACCTTTTAGCTGCAGGGTGTCTAACAGCTTTAGTTCTCTGGAATGCAAGATATGTGGTTTTGCTGCTAATGCCGCTGCCTCCCAGGTCATTCCCCACACACTCTAGGAATCTCCTAGACTGCCTCTTCTCTGCTGTGTTTAGTTTCCATCAGCCATCACGCAGGTTAAAGTTGCCCATAAGGACAAGGGCTGGCGATTTTGAGACATCCACCAGCTTCCTGTAGAATAATTCATCACCCTCATCATCCTGATTGGGGGGATCTATAACAGACTCCCATTAAGACGTCAGCCTTGTTGGCCTTCCCCCTGATTCTGATCCACAGGCACTCAACCTTATTGTTACTGACTTCAAGTTCTACAGAGTCAAGAGACTCTAACATACAGAGCCACCCCTCCACCTCTCCTACCTCGCATATCCCTTCTGAAGATCTTGTAGCCATCCATGGCAGCACTCCAGTCATGCAAGTCAACCCACCATGTTTCCATGATGGTGACTACATCACAGCTTTCCTGCCGCACGATTAAGACAATAGTTTAAATTAATGAGTTACTATCCATGTGTTTATGTGGCTGTCACTGTTGGTACAGCTGAGTGAAATCTCCAGGTAAACCTAAAATGTTTCATACAGAGCCTGAGGCAGTCCATGGCTTCAAGTACCTCAAGAACTGAAAAGCACTGAGGATTCCAGTGGCAAACAGAATCTGATCTGCCTCAGGCTTCTCACTCAGCTGCCTTCTCCAGGAACAGCTTTGTGCAGTGCTGCTCCATGATCCAGGTTTCCAGACACAGCAATAAATTGTTATAGATGAAGTAATAACATTCACTGGCATAAGCATTACAGTGTGTGTTATTTGACAGCTAGACTTATGAAGAAAAGTGAAGATTTATTCCTTTCTTTGCATTCATTTTGTCTCTAATACGCCCTAACAAGAAGTTCTTTTTACATGAAGCAGAGGTGCTTGCTCTGCAGCCCTCACTCACTGACCTTGGCCACCCTCCTTGTCTCTGGGAGGCTGCTGAACAACATGTGGGACCAAGAAAATTTCAGGAGCTGGGAGTTCCCACATTGTCTAGAAATAAACATCGTAACTGGATATGTGTATGTATTGGCTGAGGGGATGTAGGAGAACTTTAGAATAAAGGAATGTTACAATTTGCTGTTAACTCAGGCAAAGACAGTCTCCATCCTGCTAAAGGCTTGATCCTTGCAGTGAGGAATGGGTGCCAAGATGTAAGTCAGTTGTTCATATAGGCAACAGTTTTCAAATCGTAGGTGTGGCATTAAGTGCCCAGGTGCAAGCTCTCATCACATCCCTAGTAAAACATTAGGCTAAAAAGATTTACAAATATATCTCCCTCTAACTGATTTCTATAAGTGTACTTCCTTTTCTTAAGGGTTGCTCTTAGTCTGGCAACTTACCTTGATCCCTGGAACTACAGGAAAATAGTTTCCTTGTCATTCCCCTCAGGGTTTGTCTAATCCCTGGTGCAGATGCAAATTTCTTCTGTTCCTTGGAATTTCCTTTCCTATTGTTTTAGGTTGCATTCCCATAAAACTTGTCATTTGTTGTACTAAACTACACATAAAGCTTTGCAGCTTTGAGTCCCAATTCTGGCTGCGAGCTTGAAATCATGAAGCCTCTCTAAGCTCTCCTTCCGCAATCTCACTCTGGGCATCCAGGGCAAATCAACAACCCCAAATAAAATCTTTTCTTCCTAACCACAGCCTCCTTGGGAAAGGTAAAGCCAGCAAACAGCAGACAGGCAAAATTCAGGCTAGATAATACTTTTAGTCCATGCTAGGAGGCATAGCTGAGTATTAGGGATGGAGAGGTCAAAAGTAAAAAAGAACAGAAATGAGAGAGGTGGCATCTTAATGAAGAACAATTTTCCTCATGCTCCAACCAAATAGTGAACTAGAAGAAATTAAAGCCCTACTGATATTTAAAAATTCGTCTTTAGGTAGTCTGTGTGAGGCAGAGCCCCTCGTGGCTCCAAGGCCCCAGTGTCTCTTTAACACTGTGAGAAGACCTGAATTGGCAGAAGACCCTTTACTTCTGCTCTGAATAGTATCCTAATAGCTGCCATAGAATCAAGGTTGTTTTTAAAGAGCAAATTGGCTTCCAGATGCAGATTTGTTAAATTCCAGGTACTGCTGCATATCCACAGATAACAACTTTATGATACTGAGGCAGTATGGAAAGGGCATTGAGCTTATACATCACTTATTGTCCCAAATATGGGTTCTTTCAACCTCTGTGCAAGAAGCTGATCCAGACACAAAGTCAAGGTCAATAAACATGATTTGTTTATTTTATATATGCACAGAGATGGGTGCTAGGTTGTGAATCCACAAAGCTGGCACACCATCAGTATGCCAGATGCTCATTTTTATACACTTGGAATACTAAAAGAAAATGGCATATCCCATATACATAACAACCTAAGGGTATAGTCACAGAAGGTTAATCTGAGAAGGTGGGTAGAGAAACATCACTTTTTAAACCATTCAATTGCTTTGATATGGTTGGATTTGTTTTGCTTGCATACGGGGTTTTGTTTAAGCCAAGATGATCATTTGATCAGGTAAAAATCCAGGAGAGTAGTTTTGAAGTTTTTCCTGGCTGAAGAAACTTAACATTAGAGCCCAGATTTTAGGAAGATCTTGCAAGCAAATCAGGAGTAGCAACAATAGCTGCAATATCTGTATTTTAATTACCAAAATAGGCAAAACAGTCCCCAAGCCTACCAAGATTTGCATAATGCTCGTAGGAGGGGATGTATTGCAGAAAGCTGCTTCTTCAGACAGGAGCATCTATAGAAGCATTAGTAGTGATAGTGGTTTAGGGTGTCTGATCTGCAGTAATGATCCTGATGACCAATACCAGGAACTGTGCCTGGGCTATGGATATGTCAGTGGCGACAAACAACAGAATGTCTTTTCCATCTCTATCTATTAGAAACAGTCTGCTGGGAATGGTGATACATGCCTGATCCCAGGTTAAACAGGGAATGGAAGGCAAGCAGTTCATGAATTAGTCTAGTCTAAACTGAATTGAGGAGAATCTACATTTTCTTCTTTATTTTATTTTGATTTGAAAAATACTAAAATTGTACAGTTTTGGTAGTGGTTGTAGGAAGAGGAATACACTGTTTCACTGCGAGTTATTTCTGTATTACTCTGAATGCATTAACTTTGTGGGATCTACTGGAAAAAATTAATTTCCTGGAAGTGATATTGATACATAGATACAACTTACCTACTTAGTTGAAGTAAGATGGTAAGAAATAATTCTTTAGCTACAGGATCAGAACTCTATTCACATTTTCTTGGACGTTATTATCCAGTATGACCATGAGCTGTGTTAGACAATTTTGTTTGGAAGAGCACTTAATATTTCTGAAGTGATTTGGGATTAACAGTGTAACTCCATTTATTTCAGGTACTGTTGAATCAAGCATTAGTAATATGACAATGTAGTGGTGAGATGGAAAGAACAGAGGAGGGAACTTCCTGGTCTGTGAGACACCAAGGTTTTCCATAGCACTGACTATTACTTGCTTTTACTATAAAAGGGTCTTTGTACCAGGTGAGATCTGAGCATGATGTGATGTCTGCAGTGTGTTCATGTCAGGAAGACCTAAGGAGGGCTAAGTTCAGAGAAGACAATTTATTTCTCTAGAAAGACTTAATATGCAACAGTGGAAAGAATAGATACATCAGTGTATGGTACAGATAGACTATGGCTACCCCAAAGTAGCTAAAATCAGCTTCTCAATATCACATTCATTTTGTCCACGTAGAATCCTAAAATAACCATTTTCTCCCCAAGATTTTCCCCAGGAATTTGCAGCAATCTAAATGTAAACAAAGCAGAAAAAAAATTATCAACTTTAAAGTAGTATTTAAAAATGCAAGGTGCAAAATGTAAAACTAATCTTTTCTGTTAGTTTCCTTTTTAAGAAATCGAGTTTCTCAGATTTGGTGCAAAGAAAATCAGAATGCATCTTTTTCTGATTTCTAATAATTTGTTCCATTTTGCTTTGATCAAAGTTTCCATTCCGAAATCAGGATTAACAAAAATGGAATACAATTTCTACAAGACAGTTTGATAAATTGAAGCAGAAATTATAGGATGAAAATTTGACTGTTGGCTGCTGAAAGTGGACATTGAAACAATAATAGTCAGAATACCAATTACAACTAATCTGCTAAAGATAGACCAAAGATATAAAAAAAAGATGACTTAATAAATCAAATTTTATTCAGGTAGCTATTGATATATTGAGAAATTTAGTAGTTCTCACTGTTTTTTGCCAGTGAAACTACCTACCATAAGCTCTACCATCAGCTATGTAAACTCCAAATGACTTTTTGATGAACACAGGAATAATGAGATGAGCTGTTAATCTAAGTAATTAAATTTGACTTAGTCTAAACGGTTTAAAGGAAATGTTCCTTGTTTGGTTGGGTTTGTTTTTTTTTTTTTTCTGATAGCTGGATAACAGTTACTAACACTGTTTAAATAGACAATTTGTCTTTTTTAAATGTTTAAACAAATATTATTGATTACTTTTATTGAGTCTCATTTGTAGACATCAGAAAGAATAGACTCTTCATAGAAAATTTGAATAACATTGAAACAAAAAAGACAGTGTAGGAAAAAACACAGATATAGGTGGGATGAAACAGGCTTTGAAATTGAGGTAAATGATGCCTCAAGGGTCAGCATGATAGAAGTTGCCATAGAGGAAATAGAATTATGCAGGACACTTTCAGGTAAAGGAAAAGAAAAAAAAACAGAAGCAGAGAGAGTGAATGAAAGTAAAGAATTAGCTTTCAGACGATATGTGTTGTAAAGATCTTTTTCTTCTCCCTCAAAACACAGTCCTAAGGATTCACTTACCCAGAACTTCTGTTTCTGTCCATTTTTGTCAGGTATTGATCCCCACCTGTTAGAAAAGAATGGTATTTTGATGCAACAAGTAATCAGGGGAGAAGAGCTTGTCTTAGTTAGTGGTCCTAATTACCAGTATCAGAACAAAGCATGAATAATAAACTCTGCCCATCGATGATGCAAATGAAGATAAGTACCCTGCTAACCACAAGTTAAATTGCTATTAGGGATTACAAAAACTTAATGCAAGTGTAGTTTTAGTTTGTCCTTCCAAAAACCTGTTTTCATTGATGAAATCTCTCCTTTGGAGGACTTGTCAGCTGAACTGAACTCTGTAGGAGTATTGAAATTAATGTGAACACATTTCTTCAACTTAGCTGAAGATGCCTAGGAACATTTTTTTAAGAGTCTCATCCAACACTTTTACAGAAATAGCTGGTGAGTCGGGACTGAAAATGTTCCCAGCTTTTCTTAGCTCAAATTGAACTGCTGACAGCCTAATCTATTTTATTGAACAGTGCTGGTGGGGTGGGGGTGGGGGGGGTGACCTCTAAACTTACTTGCTGCTTTTGACATTTTGAGGACATGTTAAATTTGGTGGGAATATCCACGAAACCACATGAGAGACTGTCCCCACCCACGAGGTGATAGAACTTTCATGGTTGTGTCATTGTAGCTGAACCGCATAGTACTCTGATTTTTAGGCCTCACTTTCAGTGTATATCCCACCAACACCACATTTGAGCTGTATTTGCAGTGCATTGTTCACTTTGAAAGGAAAGCAACAAAAATACGATGAAAAACCCCACACCAGGAATGGGGAAATTAGGATTTTTCTGTCATATTTGTATTTGAACAGTCACAGCAGCATCAGTTCTCCTTGCTTAACGATGAACTCCTATTTACATGAAATACCTACACTTTCAGCCAAAGAGAAAAAGAAAAGCAAGACAAATTGGTGACTAGAACAGAGATGAAGTGCGAGTTACAGTTGCAAACACAAATTGTAGCTACTGCTCATTAAATGCGAGGAATCATAAAAACAATGTTGGTCATGACCATGGAATGTAATTGTTGCTTTTTCGAGGGCCTTATGATGCTTTTTATTTCAAACTTTCAACAAGTGAAAGTTCAAGTATTATCAGTAATCTTTGATATTTCTTTGACAAATATATTTTAGGTAGTCTGTCATGATCACAAATTTATAAAACAGATATATCATAGTTTATCAGATTTCATGTCAGATTCAGATTTACTTTTTCCCTCATGACCATTTTGTTAAAAAAATTTACATAAGCTGTAGTGTGAAAGTCCAAAATTTATATCAGTCTTAAAGACAAAGTAAAATTGTCTTGAATTTATATTCATGTATTTCTGCATTCTGTAGTATGCTTTATTTCTCCCACTTGTTTGAGAGAAATGATGACCAGTTCTCGCAGATGCATATTTCTGTGATTAAATGCTTTTCTAACATTTGTTATGTTCTAAAAGAGTCAGCTTCTAGTTTCAGACACTGATTGGAATTTATTGATTCTCAGAGATGTTTCTAAATGGAAGAAAACTTAGAAATCAAAATGGAAAAAGGTCTTTTTTTTTTTTTTTTATCTTGACTATAACATATCCATGAATTTAATTTCCTAGGTCTTATTTCATCAGAGTCTGATACCTAATTACTTGGCATATGCATTTTATTTACAGTTTAGAAAGAACAGCTGCTTACTCAGTAATCAATGCCTATGGGCATTCCTCAAATACTCTAAATTAAAATGCATTCAATTAAAATACACAGAAGTGTAGCCAGCAGGTCCAGAGAAGTGACTAATCCCATTTTTACGAGATTTTTACAGGACCTACTATTCTGTGTCCAGTGCCCAGTCTAGGGCTCCCCTATACTGGAAAGACATTAACAGGTTGGAACAAGACCAGAAGGAGTCCACAGAGATGTTTGGGATCTTGAGCACATGATGTAGGAGGAGAGACTGGGGAAGCTGATTTTGTTCCGCCCTCAGGAGAGATGGCTCAGGCCACATCTCTTTGTTGTCTTACACTTTACACAGGATGAGTATAGAGAAGATAGAGCAGACCCTCTGGATATATTGTGGTGGTGCCCCCCTGCCCCCCTTCCACATCCTCCACTTGAATCATAACCACCAGGGGTGGTTGTGATGGTTGCATCCAGCTTACTCTGGACTTTTGGGGACAGATGACAGCAGAGTCTGGAACAGAGACCCAGATGTCTTATTGGCATGCAAATAAGACTTAAAGTCTATTACCTTGTTCTATTAATAGTGGACAGCCCACGGACCACTGAGCTTCCCTGCACGGCGCAGGTCATTGATCGCAGCCAACACGGTCTCACGAGAAGAAGGTCCTGCTTATCAAACCTGATTTCCTTTTATAACAAGGTAACTCACCTACTTGATCAAGGGAAAACAGTTGATGTCATCTTTTTGGATTTCAGTAAAGCTTTTGATAATGTCTCTCAAAGTATCCTTCTGGACAAAATGTCTAGCACACAACTGGATAAACACATCATGTTGTAGCAAAGCAACTGGCTCACGGGTCAAGCACAGAGGGTAACATCAGACTGATGACCTCTCACTAGTAAAGATCTTCAGGGCTGCATCTTAGGTCCTGTGCTCTTCAACATCTTCATAAACAACTTGGATGCAGGACTGGAAAGAATACTAAGGCAAGTTTGCAGATGACACAAAACTGGGAGGAGCTGTTGACTCCCTCAAAGGCAGGGAGGCCCTGCAGAGAGACTACGACAGATTAGAGGCCTGGGCAGTCACCGACCATATGAAGTTCAACAAGGAAAAGTGCTCGATTCCGCATCTGGGATGGGGCAACCTTGGCTGTATGTACAGCCTGGGGAATGAGATGCTGGAAAGCAGTGCCACGGAAAGGGACCTGGGGGTCTTGATCAACGGCAAGTTTGATCTGAGTCAGCAGCGCCCCGGCAGCCAGTGTCAATTCACACATTGAGACAAGATAATTCTGTTTATTCTAGTTTGACAAAGTAGGGATCTAGGGGGTAATCCACAAAAGGGTAGCTCCCCAATCAGGAAAACTTTATATTATTTACACATTTTAACAAATAAAGGCATCAGCATTCATTGATTACACATTATATAGTTTTTTTCACTGATTAGTAGTCAATCCCATATTTATTAGTTATATTTACTGCTTCTCATGTCTTGGGGTGCATCAGGCAAAGCATTGCCAGCCAGTCAGGGGAGGGGATTGTCTCGCTCTGCTCTCCACTGGGGCAGCCTCACCTTGAATATTGTGTGCAGTTTTGGGCACCACAATGTAAGAAAGATATCAAGCTCTTAGAAAGCATTCAAAGGAGGGCAATGAAGATGGTGAAGAGCCTTGAAGGGAAGCTGTATGAGGAGTAGCTGAGGTCACTTGGTCTGTTCAGCCTGGACAAAAAGGAGCCTGAGTGGAGACCCCACTGCAGTTACAACTTCCTTGTGGGGGGGGAAGAAGATGGGCATGCACTGATCTCTTCTCTGGGGTGACCAGTGACAGAAGCCAAGGGAATGGCCTGAAGTTGTGTCAGGGGAGGTTTAGGTTGGATATTAGAAAAAGGTTCTTTACCCAGAGAGTGGTTGGGCACTGGAACAGGCTCCCCAGGGAAGTGGTCACAGCACCAAGTCTGTCAGAGTTCAAGAGGTGTTTGGGCGATACTCTCAGGCATATGGTGTGACTCTTGGGAACAGTCCTGTGCAGGGCTGAGGGTTAGACTCGATGATTATTGTGGGTCCCTTCCAGCTAAGCATATTTTGTGATCTTGTCATTCTGTGAAGCCGCACACCAGTATCTACTCGAGGAGGGATGCCTCCCAAGGTTACTGAATATTGAGAGATTCCTTGACACAACAGATTCTTAGTAGGGGGTTCACAGCATGTTAAATTTTGAAATCTTAGCTAAGTATAAGGGATTGATGGAGTGCATATAATCCTTCAGACCATTTACCAAGTCTAGGACTAAGAGTGGATCCAGCCTCACCAAGGCTCCCCTCCAAGAAGGAGCTGAGAAAGAAAAGGGGTCCTTTTTGAACCTCATGAATCAATGGGAGAGTCTCCCTAAGAGTTTTGTCTGACCCCGTCATCTATGCAGCAAAAATCAAGTGTACCTTGCCATCGAATCTTGCTAAACCACTGTCACATTTACTATTGAACTTTGTTGACTCACTACCTTATATCAATAAAGTATATTGTTGCCTCTCACAGGGGAGCTGCATCACTCCATCTGAGACATACATGCACAGACAGTGGCTAGAAGATGACAGTCACAGTTTTCAGCAAGGAATATTGCAACTAGACATAAGAGCTATTTTACAAGAGTGTTTGGGCACTACTGCCGAAGTGAGAGGCTGTGAAATATCTGTCCTCAGAGGTATCCAAAACTCAAACTGAGAAGTCCTACGAACTTGAACTATGTAAGTAGCTCTGCTTCAAGCTGGAGGGTTGAACAAGATGACCTTCTGAGATCCCTTCTAATCTAAAGTATTCAATGATTTAAGCAACTTTATCTAAGACAGCCCTGACAACTTAGGAAACAGAAGGTTGGAAGAAACAAATTCCAGATTGAGTTAGTCTTCAGATTTATGAATTACTATATTTGGAATTCAATTTCCAGATTTTGTTTAACAATTCATAGACTGTGATGGGGCAACTTATTTTGGCAATTTTTTTAATGGTTGCAGTCTAAAGAGGACATAGTAAGTTTGAGTTACTGTTTATTGATCAAATCAGTCTTGAGGTTAGTGCATGAGTCAGGAACAGGACTTAGCAGAAAACTTGGATCAGACTGTCATCTCCATAGATGCTGAGCTTTACTGACAGCAAAGCCACTGTGGCATAAATTCCTAGATCTTTTTATCAAAGCTTTCCTAAAACTTGGCACTTCACACTTGTTCTAAAGACTGGCTGAAATTCACCAATTCTTATTTCTCCCAGGCTAACATACTTCTCTCAGTGTGAAAAAGCACTCAGTTGTAATGGAAACAGCTGTTCTTTAGTGAACAACACTCTATATATTATT